CACACACACACACACACACACACACACACACACACACACACACACACACACAGGCTTTCTCTGTAGCCCTGTCTGTCCTGGAACTCACTCTGTAGACCAGGCTGGCCTCAAACTCAGATCTTTCTGCCTCTGCCTCCCAAGTGCTGGGATTAAAAGTGTGTGCCACTGCTACCTGGCAAGTCTGGCCTACTCTTTGTCTCACACATGGGTCTCTTTACCTTCCCGCCTATGGAGTATGGCTCTAGTGCTTACCAGCACACTGGAACACACCTCTGCAAGGGGCCACTGGGTCCTCGCAGTGCTTACCCCTTCTTCCAGAAGCAGATGCCCTATCTCTGCCCTTTCTAGAAAGTCCCAGCGTAACAGTGAGTTGGTTAGAGTGCAGCTCTGAGGCTGAGCACAGCACAGGGACCAGGCCCCCCAAGCACCCCAAACACAAGAGCACAGTGTGACCACTTGACATGCCACACAGAGTCTTGCTGGGGAGGTATGAGAAAAGGTCACAGGGATGCTGTTCTGCACCTAGCCAGAGAGTGAGCTTTCCGGGTCCAGTGTGGTGCAGCATAGCCATTCCTGAGTTAGCCCACTGTTTCCCATGACATCCTATGCTTACTACCTAAAGCATGAGGGATAACTCACAACAGTAAACAGGGCTCTGGGAGAGGCTTTAGAGAGGCGGGGTCATTAGCTGGAAAGAAGGCGGGGGTGCAGCCTCTAGCTACTGGGATTTTAGGTGTCACTGCTGCCCTTGCCCTTTGTGGGCAGCAAGCCACCACTGAGCCTTGCAGCACATTGCCACTTCAGACTCCCCTTGGGGCTTAGAATGGAATTTCCCCAAACTGTTTAATGACTGGACCCTGTTAGCTAAACATACTGCCTCTAGTTTAACTCCAAGAGCCTGCTGGCAAGTTTGGACTACTATCTGTGCCCACAGCAGTGTGGAGCCATTGAGCCACTGGGCCTTAGGGCAGCATCTGTGCTAATCTGGGGGTGGCATAGTCTGGAGCCAGTGTGCCCGGGCCTCAGCTTCTTACCAGCACAGGAGTCACTGAATAAATGAAGTTTGTTTCCTACAGTGGCCTCAGGCCCTCCCATAGCTAGATTCCCCATCAGTAGTACCCAATGTCTGCAAGATTAAAAGCCTAGGATCCTACCTGGCTCTCCCTGGCCTGGCCCACAGAGAGGACTCAGCATGGTACCTGTGCTGTGAGCCACAACCCATACCCTGAACCCACCAGCATGATGTCTTTGCACTCTGCAGACCTGGTGCTGTACTGTGAAGCCTTCCTGACCACCTACAGGACCTTCATCAGCCCTGAGGAGCTCATCAAGAAGCTGCAGTACCGATATCCTTCCCCGCCTGTGTGACCGTTTGTATTTCCTTTATACCATTTCTGAAGCTTTCACTGAGGCAACTGACTTGCATAGTACTACCAGCGCTCAGACTCTCAGCCCTTCCCGGGTTAGCTGCACCCAGCCTGTTCATGGAGGCAGGCCCCCTTAAGACCCATGATAGCACTTTTACCTTTGTAGTGGGGCCCCAGTTCCCACCTCTACCAGCCATGTCCTGGTGCTAACTCACAAAATGGCTGAGGAAAATGTGAAATGACTTGGAGGGCCTGGAGCAGAGTTCTGTTGCACTGTCGAGGATGGGTGGGACCATTGAGGAATTCTGGAAAGGAAAGACTAAGAAAGGCTGAGGGAAGGAGGTGGATGGCCCTGCCAGGGGCTGCCTGCAGGTTCTAACATTGAGCCCTGAGTGTCCAGCTGGTGGGGACCAGTGGATTTAAGAGTGGAACAGTCTTAAGAGAATTCAGCCAGGCACTATGGCACACATTTGATCCCAGTACTTGGGAGACAGAGGCAGGAGGATCTCTCTTGTTCAAGGCCAGCCTTATCTACAGAGTGAGTTCCAGGATGGCCAGGGCTATACAGAAAAACCTTGTCTTTCGAAACCAAGAGGAGGAAGAAGAGGAGAAAGAGGAGGAGGAGGAGGAGGAAGAGGAAGGAAAAGGGGTGGGAGGCCGGGCAGTGGTGGCACACGCCTTTAATCCCAGCACTTGGGAGCCAGAGGCAGGCAGATTTCTGAGTTCGAGGCCAGCCTGGTCTTGGCCCCTACTGCCTGCCCTGGTCAGATAAGCAGACAGCTCCCCCACCACAGCTAGGCTTTCACCCCAGGATTCACCCTTGGGGATTGTCACTCCCTGCGTTAGTGGACAAAACCCTATGATCTTGGAAGAACCCACTTTTGCTGCCTGTTCCTCTTTCTCTGTCCTTGACCTACCTGGAAACAAGCTACTAGGCCACCTCCCAGCCACATAGCCTGTGACTGCCATCTGCTGGACAGCTGCTATCACTGGGCAGCTCTCCACATTCCTGTGTGCCCTAAACCCTCTAAGGGACTCCTCCACACCTCCTCAGCTCAGTCTGTCCCTGACTAACCATGGTCTGTCAGCACAGTTGTGGACTCTGAGCACCTGTTAGAGCCTGGCCTAACTAAAAGATTGTCAATTACATCCACCAGGAACTTGTCAAACCTGACCTGCATTGACATGTGGATCCCACTTAGCTGTGGGACTGTTATTTTTCTTATATAATGGCACCCTTGAAATGGAGACTGGGCAACTAACCTGTGTGTTCCCACCTCCATCCTCTGCTGCCAGGTCAGTTTCTCAGCCCTAATCCATTTGCCTCAGCCAACAAGGTCATGGAGGGATTTCCTCAAGGCCTGGGGCAGGCTTTGCTGGGGCCCAGGCAGACCATCCATTTGGTGTGGCTCTCCTTGAGTGTCAAATCCCAGGTCAGGGATCACTGGGGCATGAGAAAGGATGTGGGGAGTTGGTGGGAACAGGACAGCAGCAGGAAGCTGTAATCTCTGAAGTAGACCCCAGCTTCAGCAGTCAGAAGTCAGCTGTGAGGGCTGCCATGGGCTAGGGGAACACCTGAGGGTCTGCTGCCCCAAGGAGGATGGACTAGCCTGGCTTTCCAAGGCACAAGTTCCCAGGAACACCCATACCATTGTGGCCATATGGCTGGAGAAATGATCTCCAGATGGAAGCCTATAGAATGTAGAGGGAGGCCTTTTGGGCCTGTTCACTCTCTGGGCCCACAGGGACCTGCTCCCTCCACCTGAGTCCTCAGACCATAACCCTCCGTATGACAGCAGTCAGGTTTAACACACAGACAGCATGGCTGGTGCCAGAGTCAGTCCTGCAGACCAGAAGGCAGCATTCAAGAGCAGCCTCTGAAGCCAGTAGCCCAGACTGGATTGTGGCTTTGCACATTCCCGCTGCACACAGGACAGGCCTTTACTTCCATGAGCACAGCCTCCACCTACAGGTTCCCAGAATCATGTGTGGCTGATTCGGGGTGGGGTAAAATTAGCATTCCATGTAGATCCTGCCTGTGAACCTTAACCCACACTTCACATACGAGAAGTTCTCTCCCTTTGCTGACACATTCAAGAAGCGAGTGAGCAAGAACACATTCTTTGTGCTGGTGCGAGTGGTGGATGAGCTCTGGTGAGTACCTTGCCCCAGGGTCCCAGGAGTGACTGCAAGTGTTCAAGCCTGTGTGCATTGGAGCAGGCCGCTAGCAACCAGAGGGATGCAGGCTTCCTCACCTGGATTAGACAACCATTACATTCCATCCACTGTGGGGGTGGGCTGGTATGTGCCCCAGCACAGACTGCTGCCCACTGGTTCCATTGCTTCATCCCAGCTCTGAGAGTAACAGACCCTATAGACCAAGGTGGGGTGGGCGTTAGGTCTGGAGTTCCTTGTAAGGTGAGTCTCCTCCTTGCCCTGTCTGGGTGGGACTCGTCCTCCTGTGTTATCTTAGGGCTAGTTCACAGTACGACACACTCATAGCAGCATAGTGGGGCCAAGTGGAGGCTGGATGCGTGGAAGAGGCTGCATCTCCAGGACCCCTGCCATCCCATACGTAACTGAGCCTGTTCTGGGTGTGCCACCTCTGAATCCTTGCCTCCCAGTAGCATCTTGCTCTTGAAGGGTGGCTGAATAATGTTAAGATAAGGAATGGAAGAACTGTCATCTCCATCAGTGGAGATGACAGTCTTCTACAGATACCTGCCTGACATCTCATCACTGTGTGTTAGGCCAGGAACTTCCCCAAGGCAGAGTGTGTTGAGTGAGTTGGCGGGCGGGGACCTGTTGCAGAAAGGCCACCCCCAGCACTGTGGAGGCTGTGAGTGGTGTCCTCAACTGGGGCCCTGGCCTGCCTTTTACCAAGTGCCCTTGGCCCTCAGCCTGGTGGAGCTGACTGAGGAGATCCTGAAGCTGCTGATGGAGCTAGTCTTCCGCCTAGTGTGCAGCGGAGAGCTCAGCCTGGCCAGAGTACTCCGGAAGAACATTCTGGACAAAGTGGACCAGAAGAAGCTGCTCAGGTGTGCCCATTCCGACCAGCCTCTGGCAGCCAGGGGTGTTGCAGCCAGGTGAGGAACCAGTATCTCAGCCAGCCGCACACTGGAGGTCAGAGCTAATCCAGCCTTTCCCCACAGTCCTGTGATTAGGTGTCTTAGTACTCATGGCTGGGCCTCTCTCCACGATCTATGTGGAACAAGGAATCCCGTGTTGCCAGAAAAACAAGTGGAGCTGCGAAGACACATGACTGTGCGCTGGGCTTTGGTCAGCTCTGGACTTCCCCAACACTGAAGTTACTTCCTGTACCATCCTGGCTTCCTATAAGCCTGGGAAGTCTCTCGCTCCTGCCTTTGCCCAGCTGGTGGGTGTGTGTCAGGTGGTAGGTGTAAGGAGCAGAGTCAGGAGAGGAAGGAGGCAGTTCCCCTGACTCAGCCCTGTGGCCCAGAAGGTCCCATTGGAGCTACAGCCTGCAGCCCTGTCCCAACCATGCCTCTCATGCTGTGTTCCAGGCCAGGAACCTTGCATGATTTCCACAGCCACGAGATAGCCGAGCAGCTGACACTGCTGGATGCTGAGCTTTTCTATAAGATAGAGGTATGACTAAGGGGCCCTGCCAGGGAGGCAGCTAGCTCTCCGCCTGGAAGCTGCTGCTGGCTGTCCCTATGGAGAGCCCCACACCCAGACCCAGGAGCACCAGAGACTATAGTGCTGTCTGTTCTGTTTCCACACAGATTCCTGAAGTTTTGCTTTGGGCCAAAGAGCAGAATGAAGAGAAGAGCCCCAATCTGACCCAGTTCACAGAGCACTTCAACAACATGTCCTACTGGTGAGATGGAGCCACGGCACTTGCTCGGGTGGTATGGATGGGACAGTCAAGGCTTCATTGGCAGAGAAGTTGAGTGGTCAGTCCTTGGATCTTTCCAGAATTTGTGGGCAGCAGAGAGAAGGCAGAGCTAGTCGAGGTGGCACCATAGCTCTGTAGTGCAGGGAACAGTGCCAGGACTGATTAGTAATGTCTGCCCTGGTTGACTGACTGCAAAGGGGAGGTACCTTTCATTGTTGTTGCTCATTGCCTCTCTCACAGTCCCTGTAAGACATTAGCTCCCTCATTGCTTGACAGAGACCAACTGCTTAGCAAAGGGGTGAATCATTAAGGCTTTGATTTGTCCCTGAATTCTGTTTGTTTGAGGGTGGGGAGATGTCTGTCTCTCTACGTAGCCCTATCTTTGAACTCAGAGATCTGCCTGCCTTTGCCCCACAAGTGCTGGGATTAAAGGTGTGTGCCACCTAGCTTGTGTCTGAATTCTTAAAGCAGAATAGAGGCCAGCCGTGTGTCTATCACCTGGTCACTTTTCCATTTCAAGATTAGACAAGGTGCCTCCACCACCAACTGCACTGACCCTGCCCCACATGCGTGCCATGGCCCTAGGGAAAGGTCTCAGTGCTTCTCTGTGGTTTGCCCTGGGAAGCACTTGCCCCTCAGCAGTAACTACCACTTCAATCTGAGTGTTCTGGCTTCTAGGGCAGACAGGAGCTACTTACCTTTTGGACCCATGGTCTTGACATGTCCCTGACTCAGATGCTCTTTATGGGATAGGAGAGGTGATTAGAGTATAGCACCTCCCCCACTGCACTGGCTTTTGTAAACCACAGGGGACTGAGGCCACCCTGAGGTCAACAAAAGAACGTGAGGGTTGCCTTGAGTTTCAGCCTCAGTTACTGCTAAGGTTCTGAGTTTCCATCCCCCATTAAATGGCATAGTGGTTTCCTACTCCTCTGTCAGCTGGTTTCTGAGCCAGCAGCCAGGCCCCATGATGCCTTACTCTGCTGAAGATGCTTCAGTCCTCAAGCCTCCTCCGCAGAAGGAGACCTGTTCTGGACCCCTGGAATATAGTGTGCACCCTGAGGTCAGGGACCAGGGCTGTGCTTAGGCTTTGGGCTCCTGGTGGGTAAGAACTTGTGACAACTGGCACAGGAGTCACATGTATCATTGACCAGGGCCACTGAGCCTATGGAGGACGGCCAGCTCAGCTGTTGCGTGTGTGCCTTTCCCGCAGGGTCCGGTCCATCATCATGCTGCAGGAGAAGGCGCAGGACCGGGAGAGGCTGCTTCTGAAGTTCATCAAGATCATGAAGGTAGCTGGCTCGACGCCGGGAGCTCTCCCACTCCCTGGGGAGGCTAGAGGCCAGCCCTGTGCCGCCCCTCCCTTCCCTCACCACCACCTCTCCTTACAGCACCTGCGCAAGCTCAACAATTTTAACTCCTACCTGGCCATCCTCTCAGCACTAGACTCGGCCCCTATCCGCAGACTGGAGTGGCAGCGGCAGACCTCAGAGGTGGGTGGTGGGAAGTCTGGGCAGGCTGGAATGGACCTGAGTAAGACTAGACAGGGATCCCCGTCTGGCCACCCACCTCTGTGGGACCAAGACGGCTGCTTCTCCCACTTCAGATTCTGGTGCCTGGTCTCTGCTGTCAGCATCCAAGGGTTTCATGGTTGGTTGTGGGGTTGTCGCCTGTCCTGTGCCTGGGCCTCAGCTTTACCTGTAGAGTCCATTCTTTAGCCCGTTAATCCAAAGTGGCTGCTCTGGGCCCAGCACTGCACTGGGCCTGCTGGGTGGGTCACAGCACACTGAGGGATAGATGAAAGGACAAGCGAGCTCCTGAGAAGGGCCTCTCTGAGGACATGTGCTCATACCACCCACAGAGCATTGCACACAGGGCCCGAGTCTGGCATGTTGTGGGCCTCAGGATGTATCACTAATCCACCCCTATCCTGCAGGGCCTGGCTGAGTACTGCACACTGATTGACAGCTCGTCTTCCTTCCGAGCCTACCGGGCTGCCCTCTCAGAGGTGGAGCCCCCATGTATCCCGTACCTGTGAGTGCTCTCCCTCCCACAGCTATTCAGTCACCATGCCTGACAATGCAGACACCTCGGGTCCCTCTGTCAGTTTTACTGGGCTTTGTTGTTTTCATCTTTTAGTATATATTTTAAGATTGTGTGTGTGTGTGTGTGTGTGTGCCCCATGTGTGTACAGTAGCTCACAGATGTCAGAAGAGAGAATGGGATTTCCTGGAACTGGAGTTAGCAATAGTTATGAGCGGCCATGTGGGTGGTGGGAACCCAACCCAAGTCTTCTGCAAAGGTAGTGAGCACACTCAGCCGCTGAGCCCACTCCTGAATTTAGTCTGTTTGATTGCTCAGTTAACAGTTTGACATCAACAACCACAACCCTGTCTGACCCTGCAGCCAGGTCAGCCTCACAGTGCTCCATAGCCAGGATTTACAAGTCCTCCAGACTTGTCAGTACTGAGCTCATTCTTAAGGGATCCACAGTGGATTCTGACCCAGAGTAGAGAGTAAAGTTTCATGTGGGTTGGAAGAACACCTAAACTGTGCCCTGGCTTGCTCTGAGTTTCAGCAGCTGCTTGTCATGGGCCAGAGTTGTCATCAGGTCCTGGTGGCAAAGCCAACACATTGCTACCTTCTGACTCTGTCCCCAGTACAGCAAACTGCCTTCTGCCTTTGTCCCCTCAGAGGTCTGATCCTGCAAGACCTGACCTTCGTTCACCTAGGAAACCCAGATTATATTGACGGGAAAGTAAACTTCTCCAAGCGGTGGCAACAATTCAACATCCTGGACAGCATGCGGTGCTTCCAGCAGGCGTAAGTGCTATCTTGTTCCAGCCTGGCTCCACTACAGGGAGGGACACAGCCCAGACAGTCGAGAGCCTGCATCTGTGGAATAGAGTTTAGTCCAGAGATTCAGGAGCCTGCATCTGTGCAATGGGATTTAGTCCCTGCTCCCTAGGGTTTTACCAGAACAACATGGGGAAATCCACATAAAGGACTCAACTCCTGGTCTGGTCCCATGGTGGCAGGCAGCTTGTCCTCCAATTACAAGTCAGGAAGCAGGTACTCCCCAGGAAGTACCATAAGAAGGAGGCTGTCAGTCCAGCCTCCCTAGCTCTAGGGCAGAAGGGGCAGGCTTCAACATCACCCCACTCAGGATGGTCTGCATGTACCATGTCCCGGATGGATCTTCTCAGGGAGCCCCTGGGAAGCCAGGCTTCCCATGAGGAGCTGCTGGAGGCCCGAGCTCAGAGGGGGCTGCTCACCCTGTGTTCTGGTACTGAGTGCTGTTGCCCATGTTGGCTTGGGTAGCAGTGACCCTACCAGGCAGATGACTGTGAGGACCACCCTGTGAGAGTTTCTGGCCTGGCTATTATTCAGCTAGCCCTAGACTCACTGACTGCCCCTCTCCCACCAGGCACTATGAAATCAGGAGAAACGACGACATCATAAACTTCTTCAATGACTTCAGCGACCACCTGGCCGAGGAAGCCCTGTGGGAACTCTCTCTGAAGATCAAGCCTAGGAACATAACAAGGCGGAAAACAGACCGCGAAGAGAAGACCTAGGAGCAGGCTGCCTGTGAGAATGCCCAAGCAGCCAGGAGAGGACCTGGACCGTCCCAGCCTCAGAGCCTGTCCACAGCCTGGCTGTGTGGCAGCGCCCGAGTCTGCTGGCCGGTTTCCTGCCTCCTTCCCTATGGCTAAAGCCCCAGGGTTCACAGTGAGCTGGCTGGCAGGCCTCAGGACTGGCATGTGTACTGGTGGCCCCCGGTCTGGTTTTGTTTTCTGTCTTCTGTCAATGCTCCCTCCTGCTCCCTACTGTTCCCTCCAACTGGGGAGCAGAAGAATCCTGAGCAGTAGACCAGGCGAAGGCGGGCTTCCAAGGCTCCCTGGCCTTCTTAAGTGACAGATAAGGAGAGGTCCCAGGACCCTTGGGTAGACTGCCCTCCAGGGTACCTGGAGATAGCCAGGGAAGACATGGCCCAGAGACAGAAGAAGGTGGAAAAGGGCCAGTGCAGGCGTCTTTGGCTGTCCATTTTCTGCTTTTCAGACATGGAGGCTGAGGCATGTCGACCTGGCCCAGAAGGTGTGAGGGTGACAGGCAAGAGCCACAGAGCTGACACTTCTCACAGCACTGGTCCAGCCCCAGCCCCAGCCCACATCACCAGTCCTCTGGGGATCAGGAAAGGAGGCAAAAGGGAGAGTTCATGCTGAGCTGGGGCCAAGGCTGTGCTTGCGAATGGCTCAGAGAGTGAAGATATTTAGTGACCTAGGGAGAGGCAAGCAGCCCTCCATGCTTGCCGTGTGCCTTAAATGCCATCTCCTGTCCCTTCAGACCTACAGGCTTCCCTCCTCCTTTGCCCTACCCCTGGCCACCAGCAGGTTCCTAGTCCTTTTTGCTCCCTGGGAATGTCTATTGTTCCCAAGAAGGCTAAGGAGGCCTAGGATGTGAGGGCTTCCAGAGGCTTCCTGATTCCAGGCAGGTGGCAGAGCCACACCCCTACTGCTGAGGTTGACAATCTGTTCAGGGCTCAGGGCTAGAATCTCCCTGGCCATAGTTCCGTGGCCACCACTGTGGGCTAATCAGCAGGGTGCAGGTCAGAATCCAGAGGTGCTGCTGGCCCTGCACCATACCTCCAGTTCAGTTTTGCATGGACAAGCAGCCTTTCCTTCTGGTCAAACGGATACCAGGTTCTGGATACCAGGTTCTCTGCTTCCTCAGCTGCCGTCAGAACAGAAGAAAGGACAGTGGCAGCTGCTGTCACTCTGAGCCCTCCTGGGTTGTTTTTTTTTTTTTTAGCAGCTTTTATCAAATAAGAACTACGGGCCCCTCTTCTGTTTACTTGTGCTGTAAATAGAGAGGGGACATCTGTAAACAACCCTTTGGCCAGTGCCCACTGGCAGCAGCCGGTACTGGATTCTTTAAGGAGCGTGGGTGGAGTCAGGCTTGTGAGCAACCGTGTGGGTCTTTGGTTTGTTCCTCTCTTACAGGTCCTTTCATTTCAGTCTTTGCTCCCAGTCCCTGTCCTTCACCAGCTCCAAGTGCTACTGTGTACAATTGGGGAACACTGCACACGGGGTCCTTCCTCCCTATGCTTTACAGGCCCCTGCAGCCTCCCTCTGTAGCACAGGCCGACCTGAGTCCTAGCCTACTGGTGCTGCAGCCAGCAGAGCAGGTCTGTGGTCTGTGTCTACTGGTTCCCAAGCCTGAGCTGGGCAGAAACGAGAGCTCACCTTCCAGACCCAGAAAAGCCAGGCCCTCCTATGATCCTGAGAGCCTTAGGCAGACTAGGCCAAGGGCCAGGCCAGCTCTGGAGTTTCCGTGTGGGTTTGTTGAGGTGCAATGTATGGGTTTAACTTATTAGCCAGCAGGTTTCCCCAATCACCTGCCTCTGGCTGCAGCTGAGCCCAGTGTTCACGCAGCCCAGCTTCCACATGTCTGTTTCTTAGGGGTGGGGCCTGGGAGAGCTGGTAAGATTGGTCTTTGTAGACATACTAAGCAGTATGGACAGTTTGGTTCCCAGCAGAGGCCAGCCATTACCTGTGGGTATGGTCTGACCAAGGCTAGGGCAAGCAAACACCACATCTGGCTGATCCTTAAGCCGAGATGCCTGCTCCATGCCTCCCAGTGTGGCACTGTAATATAAACCCCCCCCCCCCACTAACCTGTCTGACAGTGCATCTTCCTACAGACAGAACAAGTGCGCAACTTTTATATGAAAGAAAAATAAACAGACAAAAGCCCATCTGATGCCATGTCTGTGTCTAGACCTTCTGTATCAGGCTGCGCTGGGCCAGTCCCTGCTGTGTGTGATCTAGGTGAAGGGGAGGGGCAGGGTGGAGCCTGAGGGCTCTGGTAGGATTGGGAACCCATTGCTCCTGACTCCTGCAAGTGTTCTCTTATGGCCACGTACAGATTCACACAGGAAAAAATAGAAATGAGTGTGCGAGCACCATGCACACATGCACACCCTGCTGTGAGACAGGCATCCAGGATAGGATTAAAGCACCAGACTTTAAAACTTCTGCCTTCACCATGCTTCTGAGGGTCGTTCACTCCTGTGTCTTTTATGAATACAAGTGCTGAAGAAGACCAAGTGGTTTTCAGAGCCATGGAATGTCCTCAGACCCTGGGAATGAAGTACCACACCCAGGAAGACAGCTCACAGCCAGCACCTGACTCTAGAGACATGAAGTCAGAGGGCTGGAGAAACGGCTCAGCAGTTCAGAGCACTGGCTGCTCTTGCAGAAGACCTGGGTTCAATTCCCAGCACCTACGATTTTTAACTCCAGTTCCAGGGGATCCAGTGCCCTCTTCTGACCTCTCAGCACTAGGCATACAAGTAGTGCACATGCATGAAGTCAAAGCACTCCTACACAAAATCTTAAAATATGAAGTCTGAGTCAGACTTGGTGGCTCACACCTTTAATGCCAGCACTTGGGAGGCAGAAACAGGTAGATCTCTGTGACCAACCTAGGGTGCTGGGGACATAGTGAGACCTTGTCTCAAAAAAAAAAAAAAAAGGATTGAAGTCAGTATAGTTACCATAGCAATAGAACTCATCTTACAACTTCTCAGTTGATACATGAAAACCACTTCCAAAATTTGATGTCTGTATTGTTTTTGGTAGTACTTAAAAAACTTGGACAGCAGCACTTGATTAGGTTTTTTTTAAGTCCTTTTTACAAAACTGAAAACTTGAAAACCTTCCTTCTGAGATCAAAAGGCAGTTCAGCATCCACACTTCTGCAGTGTTGCAGTGCGTGCAGTTTTAGCCAGTGCAGCAAAGCAGGACACACACAATAAACACTGAAAAGGAAGACAGCAAAATGTATGGATTACAGCATCATGTGACCATGAACTTCAGCCGATATGTCAAACTACATGAGTTTTAAAGGGAGACAACAGAAAGGACTTTAGCTCTAATAGCACCGAAGAGAGAGGGGATGCTGATGGATTTGCTAGATTCCACACAGGAAACCAGCAAGCCCTCAGAGGCTTTAAAAAGCCCAGATGTAAGGGCTGAGCATGTAGCTCAGTGGTAAAGTACTTGCCTAACGTGTGGGGTCCTAGGTTCAATCCCCAGCACATGCAAACAAACAAAAAAACTATAAAATGTCTCATTTTATGAGCTAGTATTGTAAAGATGTCAGTTGCCAGATATACTGGTGCACTGGGAGCCTCAGCTACACACGGAGACTCCCAGAGTAGTCATCTGACCTCAGCTAATCGTTGGTGTAAAGCAATTACTGTTGAAATTGCAGCAGTGTGTGTGTGTGTGTGTGCATGCACGTGTCTGTGTAGGTGCAGGGGTGTGTATGTGTGTGTGCATGTGGAGGCCAGATGCTAACATCATATGTCAACTTCAATTCTCTACTTTTGGTTTATTTAGGATTTACTTTTGCCCACACTTTTTTTTTTTTTTTCGGTTTTTCGAGACAGGGTTTCTCTGTGTAGCCTTGGCTGTCCTGGAACTCGCTCTGTAGTAGACCAGGGTTGCCTTGAACTCAGAAATAGAGATCCGCCTGCTTCTGCTTCCCAAGTGCTGGGATTTTAGGTGAGCGTCATCACTTCCTGGCTTCTGTCACTATTAGGACCAGTATTTTTTTTATTGGTTATTTTATTTATTTACATTTCAAATGTTGTCCCCCTTTCCAGCTTCCCTTCTGCAAACCCCCATCCCATCCCCCCTCCTCCTCCTGTCTCTATGAGGGTGCTCCCCCCCCCACCCACTCCTGCCTCACTGCCCTAGTATCCCCCTATGGACATCAAGCCTCTGCAGGACCAGGGGCCTTTCTCCCGTTGATGCCAGATAAGGCAGTCTTCTGCTACATGTGCAGCCAGAGCCATGGATGGGCTCCTCTATGTGTATTCTTTGGTGTTTAATCCCTGGGAGCTGAGGGGAGGGGTTAGTTGATATTGTTATTTTTCCTATGAGGTTGCAATCCCCTTCAGCTCCTTCAGTCCTTCCTCTAACTCTTCCATCGGGGTCCCTGTGCTCAGTCCAGTGGTTGTCTGCAAGCATCCACATCTGTATTGGTCAGGCTTTGGCAGAGCCTCTCAGAGGACAGTTATATCAGGCTCCTGTCAGCAAGCACTTCCTGGGATCAGCAATAGTGTCTAGGTTTGGTGTCTCCAGATGGGATAGATCCCTAAGTGGGGCAGTCTCTGGATGGTCTTTCCTTCATCTCTGTTCCATCTTTGTCCCTGCATTTCCTGTTGAGACTGGATATGTTCTCTCCTGGGGGTCAAGCTGTCTCTGGGTATGATTGGGGTGTGGAGGGCTGTATAGCACAGGGTCTGCTCCCGGGCACAGATGCAAAACAGAAGCTCAATTAAAAACATTAATTCAGCTTTTCCTAACATGTATCTAAGATTGCCTGAGCTCCCCTCACAGCAGCCAGCAGCAATGCTGAGAGCACATCACACCGAGCCATTCAAGCCTGCTCAGCTCTGGGAGCAGAAGTTTTATTTTCAACTTATAAGTAGTTACAGTTAATTTTCATACATGTGTTTTGTATCCAGTCACTTTACTAAGTTGCTTTCTGATTTTTGTGTTTATTCATTTGTTTTTGTTTTTCATGGCATTCTAGCTGCAAAATCATCCCTTCCTTTAACACATTTTATTAATTTTGTGTGTGTGTGTGTGTGTGTGTGTGTGTGTATGGGCAGGCATGCACATGCTTCGACGTTCCTGTGGCACTCAGGGGACAACTTTGAGGAGCTGGCATTCTCCTTCCACCATGCAGGTTCTAGAGGTTTATCAGACTTGGTGGCAAATGCCTTTACCTGATGAGCAATCCCCCCTTTATCTGGTGACTATTCACACACATTGCAGAGCCGTCCCTGACTTGAGCTGTTGACTGTTCATTGTGAACAGCATTGCCTTCTCTGCCTCTCACACCCCAGACCCTACTTCTTGTTTTTCATATCAACTGCAACTTCACAAAAGCATCAAGTGGCAGACACTGCAGCTTTCATGGTGAGATCTTCTTGACAGTATTAGTAATCTCCAGCCAAGGTGTCCTGAAGCCCAGAGCCCAGAGGGGGCAAGAAGCTCATTAATCACCAATAATCACGCAGAGCTTCAAGCGGCCACCACCAGACCCACAGCAGTTCAACACAATTCCCCAGGTGACTCACACATCTTCAAAGGGGTGACTTATTGGTGTGTGACAAGGTTTCTCTGTGTAGCACTGGCTGTCCTGGAACTAGCTCTTTAGACCAGACTGGCCTCAAACTCACAGAGATCTGATTGCCTCTGCCTCCAGAGTGCTGGAATTAAAGGTGTGTGCAATCACTGCCCAGCTCACAGAAATGTATTTAAAAGGCGTGTGAGAGCGGTGTGGTTGGCTGACAGGCACTATGAGGTACTTTTGAGGCATCTGCTAGGCCCCAAAGGTCAAGTTCCAGAACAGTCCTGGGTTCTGCTGATGTCCTTATTCCATCTCTGCCCCTAAACAAGGCTCTAGGGGTGCCTCTAGGGACCCAGGGGCTATGGCTGCGGGTAGCAGGGCCTGAAGGGAAGGCCAGCCTGCATGGGAGCTGTCTGCTTTACAGTCCTACCTAGTGCCCTTCTCACAGATAGGACTCTTGTGACAACCATCTGTCCGACAGCCAACTGGACTTGACCCCAGGGCATATGAAAACAGCATGATCTGTTCTGTAGGTGTCTCATACTGTCTGGGGTGGCCTGGCCTGAGAGCACTCCACAGAACAATTTTCCCTAACTGGAGACTCAGCTATCCTCTTTGTTTATTTATTTTTTAGACAGTCTCATATAGCCCTGACTTGCCTTCAGCTTCAGTGTAGCCAAGGGTGACCTTGAACTTCTGTTCCTTGTGCTAAAGGTTTAGGAGTACAGGTGTGCTCCACCACACACACACACAGACACGTCTGTAATGCTGGGAATAGAGCACAGCCGTTGTGGTCAGCCGGCACATCCACAACCCCTCAGCTCACCTATTTGCAGTCACCATGACTGCAAAAAAAGACAGAATGAGCAGGAAGCTAGGGTAGGGAGAGACAGAAGCCAAAAACCTGGTGGCCAACAGAGTGGTAAAGAGAAGAGACATTTGTAAAAAAGTGGATCTTGGGAAATGAGGCGTCCTGTGTACGTGGAGCTCAAGTGTGAACACCAGACCGCTCACTTGGAGAAGAGTAGGCAACAGACCTGAAACTCAGCTGCACACAGATGGAAGGCAGAAAGCTGTGTCCTGAAGTAGTGACAGGAAATTCTGCCATTTTTTGCTGACGGACACAGTAGTCGTGGCCTCTCCCAGCAAGGTCAAGGATGTGAGGCCAGGTGGGAACTCCCAGGGAGAGTGCATACTGACTGCAGCCAGATCCGGAGCTGGGCTGGAGGTAGCTATGTCCTTCCACGGGTTCTGAAGACAGTAAGTGCACAGAAGTAGTCTTCTGTGTTCTCCAGGAGTAAAGGTGAAGGCAGACATCCCAGGAAGACTTCCAGGCTGTGTGAGCCTATGTCCTACCAAGGCCTCCTGGATAGGGCTTCTGAGCCCACCTCCCCTTAGCCCTGTGTGAGCAATAGTTGGTTACTACAGTGGGGACCAGGGTTCACAGAAAGGGCACAGCCTTGCCTGCAAATCCAGGGCCTTAGGGAAGATAGAGGGCCACCACCACATAGATGACCCAGCTGGTAGACACGAAGACTCCGAAGAGCAGGCTGAAGAGCACAAGTGAGCGGGCCTTCCGTGAGGCTTCCTCTGCCTGGGCCAGGTCACCCCGGCTCAG